CACAGTGATGTGCTTTGTGGAAACAGGGAAACTGTAAAAAAAACTATAACCTATCTTATTCATCAGGACATCAGGAGACCCGGTAGCGGCTGCTATCAAGTTTAAATTCAACTTGGAACTTTATCGGTGGTCGTATGATATATCGTCGTACATATATTAATTAGCAATCAATTCTAAATAATGGATCAATTAATGTACAACTTCTTTGAAGATAGTGATAGTGATGACAGTGATATAGTAACACAATTATTTTTTTCTGACTCGAGCGATGATGAAGAAGAGTTAATCTTAAGTATAAATGCGATTCAAGAAAAAGATAGATCAGATTTAAACCAAATTCCCAAAGTTCAAAACTATGTGGGAAATGTAGTAAACAATTTAAATGCTGAAGACTTTAAAAAACACTTCCGGTATGTAATCTGAAAAAATAATTTGTAATGAATTTGTAACCAATATTACATTAAACAATAATATTGGTTGTAAATTTATTGCAAATTATTTTTTTATTAACATATTTGTAATAATATTTTTGTAAATAAGAGACTAAAGTTAAGAAAAATTGTGTTGACAGATTATATCCAGCATCATTTGAAAGAATTCTATTATTAATTGGTCCAATACTGAAAGAAAAGAATAGCGAGTTTGGAAACAAACCAACTCCAGCAAAAAATCAACTACTAATGTCATTATGGTTTATGGCTACAACTGAAAGTTTTCGGTATAATTTTATTATTTGTCAAAATATTTTATCTACATTGATCATTTCAATAAATATAAAGGTTAATTTTTGTTTGTAGATCAGTAAGTGACAGGTTTGGAGTCGGAAAAGCTTGCTTTCGAGCATTAAGGAGAGTCATATCTGCTCTTTCCCAAATTGCACATCAATTCATTCAATGGCCTACTGGACAAAAAGCTATTGAAGTAATGGATGATTTTTACAAAGTAAGTGGATTACGGGGTGTTATTGGAGCTATCGACGGTACATTAATCGAAATAAATAAACCTATTGATAACGGTGATGATTATATATGTCGTAAAGGGTATCCTGCTATTAACCTTCAGGTAAATACAAAATTTTATATATATATATATATATTGCATTTATTAAAATTTACCCATATACAAAACTTTTTTATTTTACACAATCTACATAATTTTAAAATTATAATTCTTATTTTTTAGGCAGTTTGCACGCAAAAATTATTATTTACAAGTGTACTAGTTGGTCATGCGGGGAGTGTACACGATGCACGAGTGCTGCGTAATTCGCAAATAAGTGATTATATGGAGCAACCAAATATTTACTTCCCTAATGAAAGTTATCTTGTAGGAGATGCTGCGTATCCTATTCATTTAAATTTGATGGTACCCTTTAAAAATAATGGCTATCTTACTCAAAACCAAAATAATTTTAATTGGTGTCTACATGCAGCTCGTACAGCAATTGAAAGAGCATTTGGTGTATTAAAAACAAGATGGAGAAGACTCCTTGATAGATTATCACTTGTAGATTTAGAAAAAATTCCTGAATATATACTAGCTACATTTGTTCTGCACAATATTTGTATTTTAAATAATGATTTAATGGATATTGACGAAAATATAGTTGAAAATCAATATCATAATGCATTTGAATGCATGCAAAATGCAAATGTTGATGCTGCTAAAGACTAAACGTATCACATTAATGAATGGTTTTACAAATGCGATACTATTTATAAGCTATTTATAAGCTCATTAACATTTCTGCATAAATAATTATAATTATTTTTGTATTTTCTTACATAAAATCTAGAAAAATAAATAAAAAATTTTATATCATATTTACTCTTTCTCTCTGTTTATTAAATAAAAAATAATACTTTTCGAAAAATTGTGTATATTTTTGTAATAAAGATTTGTGAAAATTAGTTCATATTTTTCTACAAAACGTGTTCTAATTATTTTCAAAATAAAAAATGTTAAAATTATTTTTTAAGTTTAATATTTATGAGTTTTTTACTGTAATTATATATAAATATAATAAACACTTATAAATAATAAATACAGGTATATAACAGGTGAAATCAATTTGACAATTTAAGAAAGAATAAGAATTTATTGCAGCCTTTTATTACAAAAATAAAATAACATTCATTTCTTATTCTAATAATTTTAGTAAAAGATATATACTTTAAGTAATAGGATTGTCTTTCTTAATTTAATATCACATTTGAATATGACTTTGTTATATCTTATTACTTAAGCTATAGCTTTGGTAAATTTAATAAATTCATACTTTTACATTGAAAGTATAATTTTTTTGTAAAAAATAAAATAAAATCAGATGTTTACTTATAGATAAAATAACACATCACAGTTCTTAAATTAAACTTTCACAGTTTCAACAAAATTTAGTTTACATTGTTGCATACAATAAAAAGTTCTTGTTTCTAAATAATAAAAATTACAAATAATAAGTACCTTACTTGAAAAGAAATTAACTTCAATTGCTGTCTATCAGCAGCTCATTTAACAATTATAACGCATTTGAATGCATGCAAAATGCAAATACCCTAGTAGCACAATATTGACGCAATGTTAAACCAGTGTATTTCCAATGTAGATAATTATGGAATTTGGTTTAAATCAGATCTATTTTTTTCTTGAATTGAAATTATACTTAAGATTAACTCTTCTTCATCATCGCTCGAATCGGAAAAAAATTAATATTAATATCACTGCCATCACTATCATTATCTTCAAAGAAGTTGTACATTAATTGATTCATTATTCAGAATTAATTGTGCTACTAAGGTATTATTTGCTCAAATTAAACGTAATACAATAATGAACATTTTGCAAATACAATCTTAGTTTTAAGCTTCACAACTACTTACTCAATTAATTAAAAATTTAGTTTGATTGGTATAAAAAGAAACAATGTAATACAAATTCATAAATATAATAAAGAAATTCATGAATATTTAAAATATAATTTTAAAATATATTGTTTGTAGATCATGCGAAGAGTGTACACGAGTGCTGCGTAATTCACAAATAAATTATTATATGGAGCAACCAAATGTTTACTTCCCTAAGAAAGTTATATTATGGAAGTTATCTTGTAGGGAATACTGCGTATCCTATTCATTTAAATGTGATGTACCGTTTTAAAATAATAGCTATCTTACTGGAAAACAAAATAATTGTAATTGATGTCTACAAGCAGCTCGTATAGTAATTAAAAAAGCATGGTGTATTAAAAACAAAATAAAGAAAACTGCTTCATAGATTTAGAAAAAATTCCTGAATATGTAGTTACTACGTTTGTTCTGCACAATATTTGTATTTTAAATAATGATTTAATAAATGATAGACAAAAATATTGTTGAAAATCAATATCATAATGATTTTAAATGCATGCAAAATGCAAATATTTGTTGCAAAAACTGATGTTACTGTTTGTTTGTCAAATGTGCTTTTGTTATTGCGTCCAATAGTTGTTGCTGCATACTGAGCTTTTCCTTGTGCATTTTAAGCTTTTCTTCTCTAAATTCATCAAGCATTTGAAGTTTTTTCTCTTCTCGTATTTTTTTTTCTTCGTAATGGATTTTGGTCTCATTTATTAGTTCTTCTAAAAGAACTTCTCTTTTTCTTTTAGGTACTCTAGTGGTCGTCGGTGAAGATGTTGATGTACTGGATGATGAACATTGGACTAGCTTTGAACCAGCTTCTGAAGCCAAATATTTCGGAGCAACCCACGCTCGACTACCAAAAATGTCATTCATATCCTATTAAAAAAAAACTAATTTATATTATTTTCAATTTAGCCTTAAAATAAATTTTTTTATTCTTTTAAAATACCTCATAAAATGACCATTTTTTTCTGTTGTTGCCAGATTTATTATTGTGATCTTTAATATTTTTATAAGTACGTTTTAAACAAGCAATCTTATTGCTACATTGCAATGCAGTTTTTTGTATCTTAGGATTAATTCTGTTTATTTCTTTGGCAATAATTTCCCAAAATTGTCCTTGTCTTAATCGTCCTGTTTTTAAATTATTTTCCTTTTCTTTGTATATTGTTAAAAGAAGACGAGTGTCATTCGGTGACCATAACGAAATATTTCTTTCTATGGAAATATTTTAAATAATTATGAACATAAAAAGAGTAATAATAACATAAAATTTTTCTAAATGTAAGTCCTATCATACCTTCACATAATGATGATTGTTCATCTGGTTCTTCATTTTCATTTGATTCACAGATAGTGTGTATTGCATTCATTGTTTCATTTGTGCCACAGATAGTTTGTGTCAAACTATTTATTTTATTTGCTGCTTGCAAGTTTAATTTATTCAATTCTTGACTTGTTATTTCTTGTAAATAGGTTTGATCTAAACAAATTAAATCAAATAAAAATTTTTAACTTGAAGAAATTGAGGCTTGTATAATGAATAATTATAGATAGCTCAATAATGCCTTTGCGAGCCAATACGGATGTTGATGTGTAATGATTTCTACTGTTACAATATCAAGCTACATACAAACTGTGCTGTTGATCTTAAATCACAGCTCTGACATGAGATCAGAATCCACTGTAACTAAATTGTCCAACCATTTAATATTTTCGATGCTAATAAATTCTCTAATAGATTCTTATAGATGCTTATTAGCATCAAAAATATTAAACTATTGGACAATTTAATTTGTTACAATGGATTCTGGTCTCATGTAAGAGCTGTGTTTCAAGACAGACAGTTTATACGGCGCAAAATTTTTATGAGGCTTAATATTGTAACAGTAAAAATGATTACACACTAACATTCGTGTCGGCTCGCAAAGGCATTATTGAGCTATTTATAAAAATTTTTATATCTAATAAAATTATGTAAAATAACTAACCTCTAAATGCTCTGTCAGCTGATTGTCGATCGGTTGTAATTGTTAACGTTAGATCTTTGTTTACGTAAACTTCAAAACTTACTAAATCCATAGCCTAAAAGAACAATATAATTATTAAAAAATAAGAAATTTATATCAAATTTATACTAAAAAAACCGAACTGAAACTTTTTACTTGAAAAAGGTATAACTGTTGACTGCTCGTAAATGCAAGAAAATTACTACTTCTTATTAAGTTACTAGCGCTTCTATCCCGGACTTGAAGCAGTTTATGCGCGCATTTTATTAAAGCCAAATCCACAATGTAGCATATTCAATTAGTTACCATAGGCCACTGCGCGCATATGCCAGATAACGAAACGTCGCTTTGGTCACATATGCACGCATATGCGCTTTACGGAACGCAGCCACTCTCGAGGGCCCCGCGCCGGGGGTGTGCTAGCGTGCCCCCGTGACGAGCTTGTACCCCCGCGTATGATAAGCTTTCCACAAACGCTCGTGCGAGCGTACCCACGCGAGAGCACCGCCGCTGACAAGCTTATACGCGGTGCTCTCCGATAAGCTAATAGTAGGTATAATAGAAGGATTCTGGACCAAATGTAGGTCAAGATTAAGGGGTGGAGGGAATGTAGGTCAAGGAGGGAATGTAGATCAAAAGGGTTAATCAAAGGGATTAATTAATTAAATTAATTGATAATTAATTAATTGATCATCTATCGATTAATTGATAATTAATCAACCAATTAAATACCATTTAATCTATCGATTAATCGATAATTAATTAAACAATTAAATGATAGATTATCAATTAATTGATAATTAATCAATTAATTAAAATACCATTTAATTAATCAATTAAATGGTATTTAATCAATCAATTTAATAATCAAGTTGTAATTAATTATTAACGATATTCTTTCGTGGAGGGGCCCGCAGGGGTCCGCCGCCACCACATGGTCCGCCGCCGCCGCTATTTTCGAACGCAGCGCCACCACGTTGGCAGTGCAGCCATTTTAGTCAAAGGTTCACATTCTTTCTCGGCCGCATGTTCCCTCTCTCCTTCCAACGCGTTGGAAGATTCGCGTTCTCTCTCCCTTCCACCTGTTGGAATTTTTTTTCTTCATCATGCAATAGAACGCCCTTTTTTATTTTAGTTTTAAGGAAATAGGAACAAAAAGAATAATATTTTAACACATGATGTATGTTTAATACACATTTTATTTATCTATCGCATCATACGCAATATTATTATTATTATTAAAAGGATATTCAGCTTTCTGCATCCAGGTTGACACCATATACCCGGGCTCCGACGGTCTAACCCTCGCCTGCGAGTTCTCCTGCGAGCTCACCTCCACTCGCGGAGGCGTCCTCATCCTCGCATCGTTATCGTCCTCATCCTCATCATCGTCGTCATCGTCGTCCTCATTATTTAGAAGATCATTCTGAAAGAAAAAAAAACATCGTCTCTCTCCGAATGATTTCCTAGGCTTTTGTACTTACCAGGATTTTTCGACGCTCCTCAGCCTCTACCTTCCGGCGTAGGTCCACCATCCACGCGTCGTTCCTCTCCTCATAATCCAGCATCAAACACTCCCAAATTCGTGTTGAAAATACACAATTTGATTTCATCGTCAAATGTATCTCACAATTTAAATTATCATCGAATCTATTGTGATCTCTTAGTAATTTGTTTTCACCAATTTCACGATTTCGTATAAGTGTAGCCAGCGGCAGCATACATTCATGCTCCTCAAGTTGATACATGATGGACTGACACTAAAACTCAACAGCCCGAGATTTTCGTACCTGAAATAGATAAAAATCTCATGCGCTAGCAATGAGACACATTCTACTGAAAAAAAGAGATTATGAGGAATAGATAACATTCCATTTCGTTCACGTGGATTGGTTCTCGTTTTTACGTTTTACGTTTTACGTTCACGTTTACATTTCTCGTTTTTCGCGTTTACGTTATTATCATATAAGTAATGTTTAATTATTATTATTATTAGTATTGATCTTAACTATAGGGAAGGGAAAAAATAAAGTTTTTTTTTTTAAATCAAACAATTTATAATATAAATTTATTTTTCTTCATATTATAATGTTCAGCCATCTTTCATATTTAAAAATATTGGTCATAAATTGGTTTAAAGTGTTATTCAGGAAGCACGAATCGTTCTTGTCAAACATGCGAGCGATGTTCACTTTTTAAAATAGGATTCAGGACAAACGCGATAGATTTTATACGTCTCCTAAATCTTTCGTTGTCTCGCGCAATTTCTTCTCAAGGACCTTTTCGGGCTGCTCAATAGGCGTAACTCGATGTTATCATAACATGTATGACTGGAGTCGAGTTGAAGCTCACCTAAAAAATAGAATTTCAAATCTTGATATTTTCTGCTAATATATGCATGTATTATAAAAATAAGAATTATATACACTTAAGCTATCACACATATCTTATTCTTCATTTCCATCAGATTCATCCTCGTCTTCAGTATCTTGGAGAAGCCTTTGTCGTGCATCGTTATTTTGTCGTGCTTCCACCGCAGCATTTAGCAAAGGGCAAATAGGACACATGTTGCGTAGCATTATTTGGTACAATGGACGTCTGTATCCCCTGCATGACCAACCATCGAGAAATATAAATCGTTCAGTATTATGTCTTCGCCTGACCTCAAGATACGGAAATTGATCGGTCATTTCAACAACGCATGAATGGTAATATCTTCCCGTATTTACATCATGTTCCCGTATATCATCGTAATAAAACTCAAGCATACACATTATGTCAGTGATATGCAGAGCATTCACTTGACTTGCGTTCAATTCTTGATGCATTTCTTCGAATATTTCATTCCCTATATCACTATCATCCAAACTATCTTGAATTTCTTCATTATTTACCATCATTTCTTCATCATTTTCATTATTTTTCATCAGTTCTTCATCATTTTTAACAACTATTATTTCTTCGATATCCATTTCGTTCTCACTTTCAACAACTATTATTTCTTCGATATCCATTTCGTTCTCATACAATACCATGTTTTCTATTCACCGGAACTTTTAGTAACGTTACTGACAGAATATACTCACAGTCTCTTCGTTTTATATGCTACTAAGGGTTGATAGCATTTGAAATACGTCTCATTTTAGAAAACATGTACTTTATCAATTGTCGTAAAGATAAATACATTCCTTTGAAAAAGAGATTATTGGGCATATAGATATAGATGGCATTCCATGTCTGTAGGTAGTCGTTCACGTTGACAGTTCTCGTTTTTCGTTTTCACGATTATGTTATTATTATTATTATTATACAAGTAATGTTTAATTATTATTATTATTGTTATTATTACTATTGATCTTAACTATAGGAAAAGGAAAAAATAAAAAAGTATTTTTTTTAAAGTTCCATGTTTCTCTATATCACGTCACACTCTTCCACAGAACACTTGCATGTGACTTGGCAGCATCGTGTGCATAATCGTTCCGTATTTCAAATAAAGTATCCCTCTACCTCACTTCCCTGATACATACACTCTTCTCGAAGGACGATGCAAACGTTGCAGAAAATATCATCATCGTTCGTTGTCATCAGACGTTCGTCAAATTCGTGCTGCCATAGCAGCCAACGTTCCTCAAATTAGCGCCGCCATAGCAGCCTGTGCTCTTCGAGCAGCCGTTGTGCAGCGGCTGGATACGTCCACTCGCGGTAGATATACGGGCCTATTATCAACAACTCGACGTACTTCTCGCTACCCGCGGGAATCGTGATGTACAGATTGGTACGACTCGAGCTTTCTAACGACTTGCTCAGCCCAGTAGTACTCGTTCTCCAGAACAGTGATAACTATAACGTATTTCCGTTTTTCATTCCAATATCCGTACTCGTCGTACCACTTTTCATAGTCGTCGTACGCTTTCTCGCAAAACCACGTGTACACTTTTCGTTTCATGTGATGAGGCCACGTACACACGGAATCTTGGTTGACGACTCCTTGTCTCACGACGCGTTTACTAGTTCCGCGTATACCTAGTTCCCTAGGTCACGTAGAAACTGCACCGGCGATACTCGTTGCACATCCGTCTTTCTATGCGGATGACCGAGAACACGACATCTTCCACCTCGTCACTTATAACTTCTGTCTCAATCATGTCTCGTTCGCAATAATGTTTTTCTTAACACACTGTGCTCTACGTGTACATTGAGCACACGTTACTGACAGAATGTACTCGCAGTCTCTTCGCTTTATATGCTACTAAGGGTTGATAGCATTT